GCACGTCTGCCTACTCGACCGGAATGAGTCCCTTTCGGTCAATGAGGCAGCTCAACCTCACCAACCGGAAGGAATTCCTTCCGGTTGATGAGTTCAATATTCCTCATTGACCGGAAGGGATCCCTTCCGGTTGATGAGGGATATCTTCCTCATCGACCGGAAGGAATCCCTTCCGGTTGATGAGGTTTAGCTTCCTCACTGACCGGAAGGGGTTCCTTCCGGTCAAGTGGGAGCGACTCCCAAACCCCCTCATACATGAGGGGTGGTTTGGGGAGTCGACTCCCAAAAAAAATATAAAAAATTGAAATTGAAATTGGGCGGACGACTCCCAAAATCGGCCCACATTTTAGAAGACGACTCCCAACGGACGTCTGCTGACAGTCGTTGGGAGTCATTGGCAAAAAAAAGGGAGTCATTTTTCCGAGTCCCAATAGAAAAAGGGAAAACTACTAGTTGACTTTAATGAATTTTGCAAGCTACATCTACTAGATTACCCCAGAGCCAAGAACGCATACACATGTTTGATTTAACCGAGTCACCAGAGAGAAAAACTCTTTTGATGGCTACTACATTACCTGACTGTGAGAAAACACACTCGCTTGCTGCTGAGCTGGCTGGAATCGCAAGATAGTCCTTGGCAATCATCGATAGTGCTGGAAGGAGATACTGATTCTCCTCCCACCATTCGATGATGTCTTTGTCAAAAGCAGGTTCGGGCATTTGCAGGTAGGTGGTAATTTCGTCGTTTGGAGTCGGCTTGGATGTTTTCTTGTAGTTTTGCAAAGGATGGAGTTTGTCTTTATTCTTGGAAACGGGATCGGATCTTGTTGAACTAGACTTCGCTTTTGACTTCACTGGACATTTTGTCAAGTAATCCTTGAATGCCTCTTGTAATACCTTCAAGGCCTCGTCTTTGAACTGAATCTGGGTTGGCTCAGCATTGTTGGCGTAGGTGTCGGCGTCGTTGGCATCATTGCAGGGCTGTTGTTCGAAGAAGGTGAGCTTGAAGCGCGTGTCCAAAACAACCGCGAGTATAGAGTGTTGGGAGTGGACCGAATAGTAGCCGTCTAGTTTCTCAATGGCAGATTTAGCTGCTTCAATCATGACTGATCTCATGGGACGCCGAGATTTGGTGAATTTCTTGATGGTTTTGTTGCAGTGGTCCGTGAGTACCTTTTACCATGGGATCACAATTGTGAGAGTTGCGTAGAATTCGCCTTGGGTGTCAATCGAGGCCTGTTCGAGCTTCTCCAAGAGTTCGTGAATCCACTCCAAGAGATTCCAATCATTGTTGCTTATTGCCTCCTGTTATTATATCTGGTATCAGTAATTGAAGTGATCGATATCAATCGGAAATAGACTAATGAAGTGTACTTACCATCTCACAAGTTTTCTTATCATTTGCCTCCTGCATGGCTTCAACAATTTGAGATTGGCCAGAGCCACTTTTCCCCTTCTTCTTCTTTCCCTTTTGACTAGCTCGGTTAGTTTTTATGTAGGAGGATATGAGGTCGTCGATTGCCGGTCTTTGAACAAGGGCTAGATTGAGCATGTTGAAGGTAGAGTTCCAGCGTGTGGTGTTGTTGATGATCGGTCTCGATTGTTTGACATTGTTCAAAACAGCGGATTTGAGATTCAGGAGAGCTGAGAAGTTTTGTGTCAAGGGCAGTCTGAATGAATTTGTCGTTGTTTGAAGCGTTGTCTAAAGTGATCGTGAGGATTCGCTGGCCGAGATACGAGAGATTGAGGGCATCAGTTGATGGAAAATTAGATCCTGATTTGTCATCTTCATTCCCATCGGAGTCATCGGAATCGGATGAGCTAGATTCTTTGTCAGAATCATCAATCTGAGTGGCCTTTCTTTTTTTTTGAATTCGAGCCCAGTTTGTGGCAAAAGAAGTCTTCAAAGATCTGGAGGATCTTGTTGTGGATGTTGGTGCCGGTATGTTTTTCACGGAATGGTTTGAAGCCGATCGTTGCAGAATTGGCCTTCCAGTCTTTCGAGATGAAATGGCAAGTAAGCGAGATGTAAGGGGTTCCGCCAGCTGAGGACCAGATATTGGTGGTGAAAGAGAATCGCTCGGATTGGTTTTTCAAGAAACTGAAGACAACAGGTTTACTATTGGCATAGAGGGCCTTGATTTGACGGGAGACTGTATGCTCGCTGAAGATGGTGATCCCTGGATTGAGCCCATGTATCATCTTGATGAAAGCAGGGCATTTGACTTTGGCGTAGGGGAGTTGATGATGTTTGTGTCGAAATTGGACTGTCGGGACTTGAGCATGATCTGTTGAAGAGGACCTTTTGTTTGAGATCGGGGCATTGTCTGGGAAGTGGCTAGGGTTCCAGAGCTATGTGGAGCTTCAAGGCATTCTTTGGAATTTTCAGCTGTTTCGAGTGCTAGTTTCCATTCTCCAGGATGCTTCCAAGCAACGCAATTGACAAAGTTGGCCTTGGTCGACTTGTTTGAGACTAGAGTATTGCCACAGTTGTCGATCAAGCAGGCATGTTTCCCGTTTCCATCAGTGGGGCCAAAAAACAAGCTTGCTATCACTGATTGGTTAACTCCCAAGGATTTTGTTCTCTTTGACGGTTCTGGAGTTGACTTGGCTGAGGGTGGGGGATTGCTGGCAGGTGCCATGATTGGTGGCCGAGGTCCGTAGTCAGTTGCGGTTGTCTGATAACCTGAGTTGGAGCCGAGCTGGGTATCTGGATATGTGATATCAGTGGTGACTCCCGGTTGTGTATAGGGCGGTTAGGGGGTGTGTATAGGGTCCCCGTGGCCCCATACACACTCTTTGCAACCTCCTCCGGGGCCCAAAAGGCCCCGGATGTCAATCTCTAAAATTATTTGATTTCAGTCGAATATTCGAGCCAAAAAATGAGCCAGCATTATTCGACTCAAATTGAATTGATTCGAGTATTTGATTTACTATTTGATTTGAAGTGCTATGGTCTGATCTTTACCCCAATTTCCAACCAACTTCCTGTTTCAATTTCATATCTTAGATAATTCATTCCAGTCATTCTATATTGTTAGGCACATCTGATATCTTTACCTGGTAGTTTCTTCTGTCTTAGTGATTGAATTTTTCTTCAAAGCTCAGGCTCTTGAAAATTCTTGAAAACAATGAATAAAGAAGGTAGCTAATTTGTGGAGCAAAACCTTAGCCAACAGAAGGATGGAAGGGATGGGTGGCTGGTGCTAGGATGCATTCATCCTCCTCTAAACCCTCCACAAACAATACCAGATTATGCACCACCAAAACCGCAATGAAACAAACTACAATACAAGTCAAGGACATGGTGCTGAGATGATCCATATTTTAGATTTCTTGCGCTAGTTTGTAGTTATGCTTCTAACTGTTCTGCTTGTTTAACAATAATCTCTCTAGTTCATTTTCCTTATTTGAAATACATCTAGATTCTCTCACAAATCCCCTAAGTGAGTCATAGTAGCCATACAGTCAGGTCTATAATAATAGCCAGAGTCTGTCATAGTCCATAGCACAATTGGACCACCATGGCCGGTGTGTAACTACTCTTGGGATGAATAGAGCTTGAGAGGGATAGGTGCTTTAATGGGCTGCCTCTCTGGTAACTACAATGAGTAAGGTAACAAGAAAATACAAGAGTATGGACTCTTGAGGAAAGGTGTGGCTTTGGAGATTTCTTGAGGATGGTATGTCTAATATGTCTTATGTTTACTAGTCTAAATATACTTGTTCACAAATCAAGGTATCCCAAATGTTGATGGGCAAATACCTGGCTAATAGTGGGTGATCCGTTATCTGAATTGCTGGGGCAGGATCTGATGAGGAACAAATCAAGAGGGGAAAACAAGACTCCTTATATACAAAATCTGGGGAGTGGCCAATTTGTGGTTGGAAGATGAATGGAACAAAATGGAACAAATAATGAACAAGGAAGAAAATTGTACTATGAACAATGTGGCCTAATTTAGTGTGGAACTAAGATAAGATAAGACTAGACTGAAACCAAAGAAAGGGCCAAGCTAACTTAGCTAAGATAAGATAATGAATTCAGTCTGAAACAGAGAGAGGCTTGGATAATATTTTCAAGGGGAAGAGGTGGGGGTAATTATTTCACCCAGATGGGGGTTGAACAGAAAATGAGAAGAAAGGGCCAAAAGAGGGCTAGTATGAAACATGGCTGTTGTGTGGTAATTCTTGGCATAAGGTGAAAGGAGATAAGAGATAAGGAATATGTTTTAGAGGGGTTTGAGGTTATATTGAGAAGGGGTACTAGTGTGTAATTGGTGTGTGAGCTAATTCTTATCAAGAGTGAACTAGGAATTTGGCCATGGGTTTCATTTGAGGAGTTTCAGAGGTGTGGAAGATGTCTTTACCCATGATGGAGTACTTGTGAGGGTTATTGGTTTGTTGCCTTTGTCTGAGGGCCTGGGGAAACTCTTGAGGGGTCTTGGGTCTGTGATTCTTGTGTGATATGCAGTCTTGCTGTGCCTTGAGGTTCAGGATTGGCTTACCACACCGTCAACATGTGGTCCTCACGACGACCCAAAAATTTGGGAGTCGGTTGACTAAGACCCTAAAAATATGACATGGGAAAGAGATGGAGAAACAAGAAGAAAGGGAATGAGGCATGAGCAAGAAGCTGAAGAGAGGAAGAGAAAAGGGACAAACTTCCAACAATTTCATGGAACACAAGACAGCAGGAATTCATTGCACTAAATTTTCAATGTCAAATGAAACATCAAATCAATCCAATCAAGCCTTTCTTGTTGCAATAACTGGGTTGAATTTTGAATGGGATGAGCTCCTCATAAGAGCTGGATTGTGAAGCTTTCAATCTTATAAATTGCCTGTTACAATTTTTGAAATTCCAATCCTTCAGGTAAATGTGTGAGTATAATTGCAAGCCTTGCATTGGCCAGAATGGGAGAATCTCTTTATGTATCTTCTCCGCACACCATTTTTGGATTGTGAGGGTTAGTTAAACTAGTACAATCACACAAAAAATGTATACCCTTCCTGGCCCAGGTATATGTTATCAGATCTCAACAAGGATCTAGCACAATGTTGAATATTGCTAGTGGATAGGTCTCAAATTACCAAACCAAGGAGGAAATTGAAAGTGGGGTTGCCATGTGAGGAGGATAGCAGACAAAAAAGCCCAAGTTTTCAATGAAGAGAGTTCCAAAAAAAAAAAAAAAAATGGCAAAAAAGGAGAGGAAAGAGAACAGACAGTGAGGGCATGTATGCAAATATTTTTTGTGCTAAACCAACATCAATAAGGATGCTGGGAATGATTGATTTACTTCCAATCCAACCAACCAAGATCAATCTTGCCCTTATATACAGATCCTAAAATAGGAACAATTGCAGTGGCACCAATTCAAGAAGGGCTTTGGATTGTGTCCAGAGGCACTTGCAAAACCATATACAAATACCTTACTATGCACTTGGTAGGTAGCTTGTGCTTGACATTGTGACTCCACATCCCCTGGATCCAGCATGCTTTAAAGATATGTTTTACACACAGTCATCACACAAATGCTTGCAGTTTTTGCTCCCTCCTAATTTATTCCCAAACCCCAAACCTGTGGAGATACAGTGCATCATATAATAACCTGCTGCTTAATGCTTATCAATATCATGATCAACCCAATCCGCAAAGGCGAAAAGCATGTGACTTGAATTTGGGGTTGATTAGGTGGTCTGCAGCACTGCCCAGTGGTGGGACCAGGGAGCTCACAAACCAGAAGCTTTGGTTTTGGCGTCACGGCTGTCAATCAGGGGGTATCATCAGAATCAGGGGGTTGAATATTATTCTCTCACACACCAACTTGATCAGGCACCCCAAAATTGGGTCATCACAATCACTTCATCCACAACATAGTTTGCTTTCTGGTACCACTGAAAAACGTAAAAAAAGAATATTGATAATAATAAACAGCCACAATGTTTGATGTATGTGGCCCTGGATGCCAAAGTTATTCAGCCAAAGTGGCACAATGCACACATTTTTGGAGTGGTGCATTTGAGAGTTGGTGGACCCTTGGAATCCTCTCAACAAATTACGATTGATTGGGTCTGGATTGCTGATCACATGGAGGCACATAACAGATATGGAGCCTCTCCATCCAGACATGTATACATGTTGCAATGAGGCATTGATAGAACTGAAAACAAGCTTTCTTAATGAAGCAACTGCTGTCTGTGCTTGACTATTAATATGCCACTCCTTTGGTCTCAACACACCACAACATGCATAGCAGTGTTGTTTGCTTGCTTGCTTTTGTATCTTGTGCTGTGTCTTCACTCCACACAATCCCGCCAATCATAAAAAGACAAGAAACAAGAAAACCAGCTACAATCATTCCACCTTCAACAAGATCCTTAAGAGAGGTTTTTAATAACATGTCATTATTATTGGAACACACTGTATGTACTGGTAAGTATTTTTCTTAGGATCAATTCAATCAAATCTGAATTCAAATTCAAACTCAAACCACATCACATCACATACCAACAAACAAAACAAAAAAAAGAGAAAAAAAAAGAAGATCAATTGAATCAAAATTGACATAAGACAGGAAACAATAAAAAAAAAGTAGGAGAAGGATCAAGCTGAAATGAAAAACAGCAAAAAAGAGAAGAGAGAGAAGAGAGAGAAGAGAAAGAGAGAAGTTACACATATGTAGCCATAACTCAAAAAAAAAAAAAAAAAAAAAAAAAAAATGAAAAATGAAAAATGAAAAAAGAGGATTTGAATTGTTTTTCTTTTTTTCTTGAGAATCCAATCAAGTTCTCTTTGAGAGGATGAAATAAGCCCAGCCGATCCCCTCTTCATGAAATCATTCATATATATATAGAGATAGATAGTGGTTGAAGAACACCAATTCCTTCATCCGTCCCCATTTCCCGCGTCTTCTTTCCTGATCACCTCCACCAGCTGGTGTCGTTCTTATCAACCTATCTTCATATACAATCTTTTTTCTTTTCTTTTTTTTCGTTTTCGTTTTTGTTTTTTTTGGTTCGGATTCGGGATAGATAAAGGTGGACTAGACAATCGTACATTCCGAAGCCGCTTGATCTCTCGTCGGTCTAGCTTGTCGTTTAGCAGGCTGCATACACATATATTATTCATTCATGTGATTGATTGATTGGTTGGTTGGATCACCGTCATTGTCAAGGATAAAAGTTCGAATTTTTTTTTTCAAGATCAGTATAATTTCACCGAAAAAATGAACCATTTATTGCTATGAAATGAAACCAATGAATTTACCTTTTGAGATCCCATTTTCTTAAGCTCGGTCAACCGTTGCATGGCTCTCTTATTTTTATTGGCTGTGTAGATAAGAAGCAGGGGCGGGCGGGCGGAGGTCAACACAAATCGGTATAAAACGAGAGAAGAGGAAGACGAACTAGCGGCCCTCATATACCATCGTTTAGCCTCTTCGATATCCTGTTTGACGCCGATCCCGACCTCGGCGTAATAACCGACGGCGTATTCGGCCTTGGGGAGTCCTTTAGAGGCGGCTCTTCGGGCCCACAGATAGGCCTCCGAGTCGGACTGTTTGAGGACGCCCTCGGAGCCGGTGAGGTACCAGCCGGAGAGTGCGAGTTCGGACTCGGCGTCCCCCCGCTCGGCGGCCTTAGTGTACCAGCCAATCGACCGACGCGGATCCACCGGACAGCTTAAGGCCCCGTACTCGTAACATGCACCTAGTCGGTTCTGCGAGGCTGGATAGCCCAGTTGGGCCGCTTGAGTGTACAGCTCCCGGGCATACGCCTCGTCCCGTTGGACCAGATATGAGATCTGAGGGGTACCTGCGCTGCTCGAGCTGGAATGTTTTCCGGCAGGTGTTGCCGGGGGCCCGATGGTCACCAACGGCGGCTTCTCATAGATCTGTGCCAGCTCGTGCAGGGCATGCGGATTATCCTCGTCGGCCTGTTGGGCAGCCCTCTTGAGCCACAGAAGGGCCTCCTGCGGATTCTTCGGCTGGCCGAGTATTCCGCCCAACAGGATCATCCCCAGCTTGTACATCCCAGCAGTATCCCCAAGGGCAGAAGCCTTGCGGTAGAAGAGTACTGCCCGCTGTGCGTCCTTCCGGGTCCCTGCCCCGAGCTCGTTACACACCGCCGTCCGATAAGTCGCTGCTGGATGGTTCTGCTTGGAGGCTTGGACGTAGAGGTTGTATGCCTTTTCGTGGTCCACCTGGAGTCCTAAACTACCGTTACCTAAACAGTTGGCCAGGAAGAATTGGGCATCGCTGTAGGGAGGCTTGCCCAGTCCGACGCCCTGGGTGGCCAGTTTCTTGATCAGCTTGAGACTCTCCTGTAGCAGCGCATCCCGATACTTTTTGATCGCCTTGTCATCCCCAGCGGCACCACCGGAGGCCAGCTTCCGGGCGGCCTCGATGAGGAACTTGGCGTAGTTGAAGTGGGCCTCCGGGTCAGGGTCAGACTTGATCCGATTCCGATACTCGTCGATCGATGCCTTTGAGATCGTCGGTCCGGTCTTTGGGGGTAGTAGTGCCGGTGGACGGCCAGGAGGGTGGTGGTGGTGGATGTGGTTGTTGTTGGCAGGTGCGATGAGCATGTTGGAGCGTGAGGAGGTATTGGAGAGCGAGGTTCCAGAGCGAGTGAGGCCGACTTGATGGATACTTGATGCGGGTGAGGGGGTAGGTTGAAGTGATGGTCCAAATCCAGCTTGGGTGGGATTTGAGGGTACTGCTGGTCGACTGTGAGATTGAGAGAGGATATGGTTGTTGTTATTGTTGTTATTGTTGTTGGTGTTGTTGTTAGGAGGCAGATAAGTGTTGTTATCTCGGTAACCAGAAGGGCCGATGCTATAGCTCAGAGGACCGTAGCCTGGCTGCTGTTGCATATTGGAGGTGGTAGCTATGTGATTGGATGAATGGAGAATGTCAATCGAATTGACGACCGTTGCTATGGGACAGTGGGAGGGCTTACCTAATCCGGGATGATGATCTGGATAGTACTGCCTGATTGTGTGGGCTTGGTTGGTTGGAGTGAGCGGGCCGTTTGGTGGAGAGAGGGTTGATGAGGCGGATGAGGATGGATAGTTGTTGTAGGCAGAGTTGAGTGAGGAGATGGAAGGATGATTTTGACGTTGGATGAGATGGTGGGTGGGATAGTGCTGTTGGTTGGTTTGAGGGTAGGACTGATGGTGTGGATGAGGGTGATGGTGGTGGTGATAAGTTGGATGGTGATAGTGAATCTGGTGGGGGTGTTGTTGTTGTTGCTGTTGCTGTTGCTGTTGCTGTTGCTGTTGCTGTTGTGCTTGTTGTTCGTGTTCGTTGGGTAGATAGGCATGTCCGATTCCATCAGAGTCTGTCTTGGATTCGAGTGAAGTTGGTGTGGTAACAGCTGAAGAAGAAGAAGATATCCGATTAGTGTTTGTAGTTGGCTTTGAGGGATGAGATGGATTTGACTAACTTTGTTCGTTTAGAAGCTGATGAGCTGGTAGGAGTAGTAGTGAGCTTGATCTAGCCTGTTCGAGCCTGGGTTGTTCTAGCTTAGGTTGATGGTGGATGACCAATGGTTTGGTTGTTGTTGCTGTTGTTGTTGTTGGTGGTGTGAATGAGTCGTGAGTTAGTTTGAGTTTCTCTAATCCTAGGTCGTCTGAAGTGGGTAGTGGTGGTGGTAGTGTTGCTTGGATCGAGCTCTTTGAGAGTGTTGGTGTTGATCTGTTGGTGAGTTTGTAGAATGAGGATGGTTGAGTCCATTCAGTTGATTGATTGAATTCTTCTAATAAGCTATCCAACTGAGACGGTCCATGTTCCTCTTCTTTCTCTTCTACTAGTGTTGCTTGTTCTTCTTCTTCTTCTTCTTGAGTCGGTGAGTTGAGTATGATGTCTTGTTCTTCTTTTACTGCTGCTTCTGCTTCTGGTACTCCTACTACTACTACTACTTCTGGTTGAGTTGGTTCTGGTTCTTGTTGTTCTTGTTCTTGTTCTTGTGGTTGTTCTTCTTGTTTGAGTTGTTCGATCGATAGTTGTCCAATCAGTTCATCCAGTTGTCGTAGTTCGTGGCTGGGTTCGTTATTCTTGCTGCTGCTGTTGCTGCTGTTGCTGCTCTCCATGATGTTTTTAGTTTTTTTTGGTTTGGTGATGATGTTGGGTTGTGCTGTGCTGTTGGGTTTTTGTTTTTGAGTCGATCGGACTTCAGCCTGTTCACAGCCTGTCCACTCATTTCACTCCGATCATCAAACTAAACTATTTCACAATCTCAACCAACACAAGTAAAACTACGTAAAACTGGGAATTCATCTTACATAATCCTGATCTCGCTTCGGTCATCATCCGAATGTGGGCGTCTTCTAATGGTTAGGAAATCTCGTTGTGGTCTTAACCGTCTTGCTAGGTCTTGGCTAGATGGTCAATCCCGTGAAAATGTCGGTTCGATTCCGGCCGCCCACAGACGCTTGAATTTTTGGAGAGCAATTTCATGTCGAGCAATGCAGAAAACCACTCGAGTAGGCTGCAAGCCAAGTCGACGACATCTGTGGACATGGAGAAAAAGAGAGAACTATTGATCCTAATCAATCTGATTTATTTCCTCAGGAATTTGTTTTTGATCAGAATGTAAAACTTATTTGCAGCGTGTGAGGAGGGAGGTTGTTTGCACGACAGTACAACTCATCATCATTCTTCAAAAAATAAATCAATCCAAAGGGTTCACTTAGGCCAACAGTCAGTTGTATCGATCGGGGTTTCCTGATACCCTCAACTTGATAAGTCGGCGGTTTCCTGACTATTGTGTCAAGGCAGTCTTCTGGTCTGATTGAATCGGTCAACCGGCCAGTGGTTCTTGTTGACTCTGAATCGCTTCCCTCTTTTGGGTATGTACTAGAGGAAAGGAGGACAGGCAAGAGACGTATCTGAAATTTTGCTTTTTTTTAAAGATAATGATATTCACACAGGAAGCGAAAAAAAAAATGAGAAAGGGAATACACAAAAAAAGAGATCTACTAGACCTCGCTTACTGAAACTATTTGTATATAGTTAGTTATTTGTTTGGATTTGGATAGTAGGAAGGGAGGAAGGAAGAAGAACAATACTTCACTGACAAAAAAGCAAACCAAAAAAACAGCCAAGAGAAAGAAAAATGAGGCTTGGATTTTTTCAAACGACTTATAAAACTCTGAAAGACTCCCTCATTGGGGTTTTTGTTTTGAGTTGTAACTTCCTTCTTCTGTTTGAGATCATTAGAGACATGCTGTCTTCTGAAATCGATAACTTCTCCTTATTTATTTGTTTTTGAATTGGATTGGATTGGATTGGGAGCATAAGACGATCATTTACTAAGCATCATCCGAACGAACTCCTCGTAGTTGATTGCCCCATCTCCATCCACATCAGCCTCTCGGATCATCTCTTCCACTTCTTGGTCCGACAACTTCTCGCCTGTGAGATCATTAACAAGTAAGCAAGCACCATTAGTATCCATCATCACAGACCACACTTTGGAGCTGACTGATCGAAGATCGATAACCAATAGCGTCGATCGAATCTTTCAGAACGATCAACCAGTCTCATCAAGACTTACCAAGATTAGTCATAACATGACGGAGTTCAGCAGCACTGATAAAACCGTTGCCATCCTTATCAAACACTTTGAAAGCTTCCCGGATCTCTTCCTCGGAATCCGTATCCTTCCTACCAAACCAAACCAAAAAAAAAGAAACATATTCATGAACAGCTTCGGAAGAGCTCTTCAAAGAACGAAAAAAGGAAACAAACATCTTTCGAGCCATCATGGTTAAAAATTCTGGGAAGTCAATTGTCCCATTTCCATCGGCATCGACTAAGTAGTTATACGATCGATTTTAGTATCATGTTCCTAGTACTACTAGGATGGTGAATAATGTGATGAATTACTCACCCTCATTAATCATATCACCCAGTTCGGCTTCAGTTGGATTTTGGCCTAATGAGCGCATGACCGTGCCGAGTTCTTTAGTGGTGATAGTGCCATCGCCATCCTTATCGAATAATGAGAAGGCTTCCTTGAATTCGGAGATTTGTTCCTCGGTCTATCGAGTATCATGGACAGAGTACATAAATAATCGGAAAAAATGAAACGAAAAAAAAAATGAACAAGAAAAACAGTTGGTCCATGTGAGTGATCGAAGTAGAGAGCAATCGAAACACCCACGAGTTGATCAGCCATTCTTCAATCTGAGAGGCCTTAGTTTGGTTTACTTTGGTTGGTTGTTGTTGTTGAGCTTGTGCAGAAGTTTCTGTTTCAGTCAGTGGACTGGAGTTTCTGTTGACTGTGGTGGAGCAGAGGCTGGATACGTCAGTGCAGGCCAGCCGAGCCCACGGTATTAAATATATGCTCTCCATTAACCGGTTTCTGCCCAGTTTTGCACCACTCCAACCATCCTCGTCCGACCACTTTCTGGCTTCCAAGCCCTTGTCCAGTTCTACAGATTTGCATGGCAACCAGCTGCTGGCTCCCGAATTTACCCCAGCCCACCGACGAAGCTGACCATCCATCGCTCCGATACATATCGGATTTCAGAGATAGATCCAGAACTTTTGACATCCATTCGCTTTCATTGGCAAGTGGGAGGCTGCCCAACTAAATACTAGAGCCAAATAAGTACTTGAGTGCTGGGCCTGCGAGCTGTACAGGAAACCCGGCCAACCAAAAAAATGGAAAAAAAACTCCTCCGATTCACAGCTGGCCCAATTCTCAACAGCTGTAAAGTCGCCGGAACAATTGGAATCATGATGATGGCGTTCATAGATGGAAAAAAATAGGCCACAGCAACAAATGAATAAATGTGCTTAAAATAGTGCCATGTAGGCTACGGGCCTGGTATCCAGATCCATGATGTCATTGGCACACTTCAACAGTTCATGAAGCGTGCAGGTTGGCTTTTTTCTTTACTCATTTTTCCCAAACACGGTTGGGCATCAAATATGTAGCACAGCAATGAAAACTATGCAAGCAATCAAGGAAGAGCTATATGGATGGTGGTTCACCACCTTGTGAGCAACTACCAGGTCCTATATGGTAAGACACAGTTGTTGCAAAGATCATAATCATTTCGAAATCAATTGAGGTTTGTTTTATGTGACTGCATGATCTGAGGCCTACAATCTTCATCATGAAGGTTTTGGAGTCACCATCTCAGAACACTTGGTAAATTGTTTTTTCTTCTCATCACAACCTGCACAAGATGATCATGTAACAAATGAAAAAAAGAAAGAAAAACCTTTTAGAGACTTTGTGCTGCACTTGTTGTGTTGAGGAAAAAAGTTGTTATAGTTAGTTCCAATTTGTAAATTTTGCTAATCAAAAATGTGTAATTAAAGAGGATTCCAAGTAAAAGAGAAGGTGATCTTCCATTCAAACTTTCTTCCAACTTGACATCCAAACTGTTTTTCACTCTTTAGACTGAATCAAGTAAATTATTTCATGGTTTTCTATCTCATTTGTATACACCATATTTGATGAGTCTTTTCCAGCTTCCCTGAGATAGGCCCAGATACAGTCAGGTCTCCAGTAAGCCATAGTCCCTCACAGTCCATGATAAGATATCTCCACCAATTTGGTGGGTGGTCTGGGAAAGTTGAGCATAACCCATATAATCACCTCATCACCCAAAATTAACTCTCTCCCTTCAACCAATCATATTCATAACTCCATTGGAAGCATGCTTTCATGGTTTGAAAAAAAACCTCCTTTGTGTCCTTTTTCACCTCACATGATGATATTTTTTGACCAGTTTCCTCTCACTTCCTGTTCTGTTGATGTAGTGCTTTGAGACAATTGTCTCTAACTCTGCTGCTAACAAACCAGCTCCAAGGCTCAAATCAGTAGACAAGGACATTTTTTTGCCAATTTCACTCATCAACAACAGTCCCAAAGATGGGAGCAGTGACACCTCTGAATCCATTAATCACACAAACAGAGTTACTCACAGGAACTGCTTTATCATGTGATTCTGAACACACTTTGACTACCTATTTGAAAACTATTTGCACATGTTCATCAGTTCAACTGTCTTACGTTTTTGTATGTCATAGGTTTCTCTGTCTGCCCTTCATACCTAATTAATATTTCCACTTTGAATGCTTTCATGAATGAGTAAAAAACTTAAATCAATTGAAATATCTGGTGACAATTTGGTTTGATCCAAAAACACTGAGTAGCACATAAGTATCATAGCATCCTCATTAACCCATGGGTTTTATTTGCACATGATTTCATGGTGTAAGCAAGATCTTTACCATTATCCTATGGTTCTGTTACTGTCAGCCTATAACAAGGCAGGGGTTAATAGTGACTGGAATGTATTCTCTTGTCAGCAAGCCATGAAAGTGTTTGTGAGTTATCATAAAAGTTAAAACCAGGGAAACAGCTGTTCAAAATAATCAACATGATCATCAGCTAGAAAGTATTGTCTTCTTTTGGTAGTGCAGTGAACTAAAACACTTGAGGGGTGCATTATTGCTGAGATTCAAGACAAAACTGAAATGCTTTTGAAAATTAATTGTGAGTTTTTGTTTGTTGGTCAATTTGATGCAGGTTTATGCACTAGATTGCCTTTCAGTGAGGGCTCAGTGACACCCCCAACTGAATACTGCTTTTAACCAGGAATTCTGGGAGGGGAAGGGGGATTGTGAGATTAATTGAGACATCAAGGTGATTCACCTGTGCCCAAAAATTGCAGGGCAGCTCAAATTTTCCTTTATCTTTACAAATACATATCCAGAATTTCATCCTGAAAAGTCTCTGGCAAATCTGATGGAACTAGCTGTGAAAAATGTTTTTGTTTGAGTAACTTACTGACTGACACCTGAATACTCTGTATTGAGTCTTCCAGT